TACTCTCGTGTGCGTTGCCCATCTGACATTCCAGCGCATCGTTCCTTCAGATTTTGTCAATGATAAATTGTCCGATGATTTTTCTTGGATCAAACCAGCATTTTGAACTACCACTTTTTTAAACAGTGCAGCCAGTGAAAATTTCCCACCATGAAAACAAATCTGGATATAGGAAAGTAAAAATGTGATGGCAATAGAAGTCAGAAATTTCAACACAGCGCAACAATTTACCTCGGACACATGCAGCTCTCGACACCACTACAACGATGATAAGGTGGAAACATCAATATCGCTAAAAGTTGGTTTGGCGTCGAGACAATCACCATTTGTATCTCACCGTCAGTTTGGCAACGACATTCATATAAATTGGACGATTCTTTATTCTGTACAAATATTTGCGAGTAACTCGTTTCAAAGAAGTCGTTAAAGCATAAAACAGTAAATACGACCAGGAATGACGTTCAAAACACAATCAATTGATGATAAGTAAGATGGAAAACGCAAAGAACATTCCACAACTGCGATAATATTGACAACATATAAGGTCAAAATATACAGCATCATTGCACTTTATTTCACCAACACACCGATCATGCACGTTTATTTGCAACTGCTGAGCATGAGAGAGTGCTAGCGCAGTATCAAAACTCAGCATGCATACGACAACTGTAAATGCGTCAGTGAAACAGCATTGTCATAATTTTGCGCTTATTGTTTGCGGTTGTTCAGTGATCACGGTAACTGAAGATTGTACGCGACGGTCACAATGACATGAGTTGTCGTTCCATGAGCAATAGATGGCATCGGCAGCAGCCTCACAACCTTTCAGAGGTAAATAGCAACAAAGACACGGCAAACAAGGCAATGCTAGAACAACACAAACGAGCTCAACAATTCGACGACGTCCCAACGCAATCTTCAAACCACTGATTGATGAATTCGAATGAGCATCAGATTGCGATGATTGATGCAAGCAGTGACAGTGATAGCGAGTTGCTTTCACACAACACATACACGATAACGTGTCCACTAAACAGCTCGACGATAATAAGCACGTATCACCACAAATCCACTTGGACGGCAGGTGACGTCGACGTGAGCACTGCACGCATCGACAACGGTGACACTTCGGACACACTCGCAATCTTACCAACGACGATGACGACGATCCATCAATGCATTCACTCCGTTTGGCCAGCCGGTATTTATCCGCATCGCCGAAAGACACATGAAGAGTGTTTTGAAATGGCTGAAAGTCGATACTGCGTGCATGCGGCATCATTTTACAGCAGAGCGCAAACATTTCAAAAAATCGGTTCGTTTCTTGAACTGAATAAAAAATTCGTTTCAGATGTCAAAAGAAAGCATTGTTTAAATGAAGGAGAATTGAACAGAACGAGAGTGTGCTGGTCGGTCATCTCATTCAAAGAATACGCAGCATGTCTCACTCAATTTATGTTGATGATTCTCGGAATGGATAAGCATCTATCAAAAATTCATGCCTCATTCGTGCCGAAAATTGGAAACTTTCCCTTATTACAGGAGTATTTAAGAACGGAGTGGTGCGTTGGTGTCTAACATAAGTAAATAAATGACTGATCGATGATAGGTAACTTATTAATAAATTGCGAAACTGACCTTATTCGGAACCCTCATTGTTTTTTGTGGTGAGACGGAATCGTTTCCAATAGAGAAGGAACGACTACGTCTAACTGGTGAGGCATCAATGTTAAGGATGCGCTTGGTTATACCATTACCTCCATGTGTGTCGTAATGAGGATTAAGATTCCGCTTCAGTTTACATGAAAGAGACGAAAGAACGACGGGTACTGTATCCACTGGTGAAATCTCGTCAGATGGTTCAGTCTGACGGCTCGAGTTCACAGCGATAATTCGTCGTTTCACATTTATACTGAGATCACTCGTTGATCTCTGTTTTGGCTTCAGTTCATGATCCGACGCTTGATAAGACGAGCTCGTGCTGCAATTAGAACGGTAGTTCCACAGTAATTACTTGTAAAAGTGGGCCGATCTCATCCAACATCTAGTCCCACTACTATCTGTGACCGTTGTGATATGGTGGTGATGATACCACTTTTGGCGTCTAGATATACCGAACTGCACCCAAGATTTCATCCCACGAAATCAAGTCATGAATGAAGCGACAGGTGACATACGTCGAAGCGATCATATGTTAAATCAAAAAGAGAACGAATACCTCGGTTGTTCTATGCCTGACATACTTTGTGCTGCATCTGGCGCTGGAGTGTAGACGTTTTTTTCTGACTTGGTTAGTCTCGTCGTTGATAAGTGATTCTGAAATGGATTGTGAATCGAAACCATGAAAATGAAAAGTAATTTTCACTTTAGTCCATTGTCTGTGATGAAAATGATCAGTAAACAGAGTTGCAAAGCACAAAATCGTACAAATGCAAATAGTGCGTCTGCACTGCTCTGTTTTCTGCAAAATGTTTTCACAAATTCACCGAGTACGATGGCATCATAGACGAACTTTGAAGCTAATCTGCGGTTAGAAGTGTGGTCCAACGTGACTCGATATCCCCTCACCCCAGATTAGACTGATGATCAACAATTAAGGCCGATTTATTTATACAGTTGTCGCAAAATATCAATGCGACTTGTAAACTTACGCATCGATGGATCATATTGTAGATACAGAAACATTCAAACGGTGAAACGATAATATTCTTTTTTAGTACAAATGAAAAACTGCCAAAGATGTCTTCTGAAGCATTCATGACGCACATAATGTTTCCTTATCAGATCCTCATTGCCAGTAAAAACAAATCTTTTGAAACGGCAGAGCACAAATGTTAAAAACATTTTATATTGGTATTTGAATTGTTCAATCTCTGGATACACAAATATAATTGAAAATTATTCGAATTGACTTGAGATCTAAACTCTTACTGTCGTCCTTTCTCCACTAAATTGAGTGAAACAAAATCAAAGTCATGATAAAGATGTTATGACATGAGAAATCTAATCATGTTACAAAGGAATCAATTCATGGATTTTGATTCTTTCTCAACCTGAGCAGAGGCGATGCATCAGAGCTGCAAATGTTTTTTTTTCATTCGCATTCCTTAATGCTCATACTGGAAATAAAAATTTAACATCAATTACAAGTCTAGTGTTAATCGGGCGGAAACTCTATTATTGTTGCACAAATGAGATGATGTGCTATTTTCAATGCAAACAACAATTTCGCTCTTCAAATACCAACTGAATGGGTCGATCAAAAAATTATTCGGACACGAAAAAAGCTAGGAATTTGAAACATTCTCGTCGTTCAAAGTAGACTGTGATTACACTATAATCCAGTCATAATATAATTCTTTTGATCATGCGATAAGTGAACGATATGGAATGCCTTTTGTAAGGTATCGCTGAAATTGACTTCACCTCATTCACGAGAATAAAACATCAATTTCATTCACCATTCTGCATTCCCATCATTAATTGTTTAGATCAACTACCACCATTCAAAACCAATGCTTTTGTTCAACTGACTCAATTTCAAATAATCGGGATGGCATAACTCATTTTAAGTAATAATTCTGTAACAATCACTGTTTTATCGAAAGATAATTTGCTTAATGGTTGTCGATATTTTGAACTAATCAAAGTATCATATCATTGAGCTTACGTCGGTGTAACTGATCGTGAACATCACATTAAATGTTTAGTTTCGGAATGACATGGCAAAAAATACTCGAATGCGCTTATTCGATAATGAGATGAATCGAACTTACCAATCGTCGAGAAATTCGAACGAATGATTCATTTTTTGGAATCTTTGGAACAGGTAACGTTCGATCACAATCCGTTTTATCATACATCTGAAGTGTGCAATTAAGATATTGAATTCAATTCAGTTCCACAACAATACGAATCGACGGATTAATGCGACAGTCGCGCTGAGTACAACACGGAGGAAATATAACTACGCATAAAATAAGAAAGGTGGTTTATTTGGGGAGAGGGGGAGGGAGGGGGTTCGCTAGATCATTTACCACCATCTAAAACATTTTCCAGCCGACTGGGACGACACATGGCAACTTTCATACGGATAGAGATGTAATATAGGAGCAATTACACGAATCAGTTGGGAACACATTGGAATGCTTACAGAATGTGGGCGAGAAACGTGCAAAGGGTAACTGATTCAAACAACCTTAATCAAATCAGTAACTTTTGCAGGGCGGACAGATTTGTTCATTTACCAAAAGCTTGAGACAGAAGTTTAAGGCGTTCACTGTATGTGAGTAAAATGACACAATATGAAATAATACACGATGACGACTTGGTGAGATTTCATATCGCATGACCTATATTTAATTCAGACAATGTTACATGAATACCGTGATCATTTATCATGCAAATTTGATGTCGCATGTGTACTGCTAAAACGAAGTAGATTTAGTTAATCCGATACTATTACGGCATCTATTGATGCCATTCAAACAATATAATCAAATAATCATTTATAAAAAGTAATAATGAACACTTATGAGTATTTTCAAGGGGAGATAGATGAAGGTAATCAATGCGACAGTTGGAGCAATTGAAAAATGTTTTTTTCCGCTGATACAGATGGTGCAGAATTAGTCATCGCGATGCACAGAAAGTAAAGGAATGCTTTTTCAAGCGCAACACTGAATGTATGTTTTGACGTTTGTTTGCTTTCAGTCGAGAAATATCTCATCCATTAGCCGAAAGCCGTTCATTTACGTTGCATTCTCTTCAGAATGTTGCCACGCCAGTGGCCTGCTATACAGGTCTATTTGCTGCACTCGCACATATCAAAACTTTCCCATTTCATCATCTTTAACCTGGAGAAGAGAATTCACTTCATGAAGCAGTAATCACTTGCACAAACTCTGCATGACTTTCGCATTCAAAGCCATCAATGGGTAACAGTTCACCTTGACTTCAGTGAAAAAATTGTGGCGTCACATCCTCGTTTGGTAATCCAGTTGTATTTGCGTAATTCGCGATTCTAATTTCAAAAAACGCTATGACGTAACATGCATATTCATATACAAAACTGACGATCACACTAAACGACTTGTGCATATTTATGTGGTAGACTGGGAGAGAATCTAACGAGGCGACATAAAGTCTGCATCGAAATAAAGTTCTGTCGTTATGGCACTGCTAAACGATTTACACTTTTGAGGTTACTGCAGTAAATAACGCAGAAATTATTCGGAAGTGAATAAATTTGAATATATGCGCACACAAACTCATTCATTTCCTATTCATCGGATATTTGCAAGAAAGATGAAAGCAAAAAAAAAAAGGAAATGGTCGTGTACAGCTTCAACTGAAAGGAATACGAAGCAGGTGCGATAGTGGATGATGAACACTGTTTTTGTGTAATGCGAACTGTTGAAAGGCCGGATGTTGATGCATTTTGTACGCAATACGGAGGAGATGGCAAACCGAATGAAGACGCAAACGATGTACATTAGACAACGACCGAATGCAGTTAAAAAAACAAATGCAAAACTGTTTCGACATAATCATCAAGATGCTCAGTGCGGCTGCAGAGAAGAATAAACATTCATGTGCGTTGAACACGAATGATTTGTGAAGTTGTTTTGCGGATTTTGATACATCATATCCTTGAGCGTTTGGACGATACTTCATCAGCTGAATTTCTTAAAAGACCAACTGAGAGAGAGGTGAGACAGTGAAAGTGCGACGAGGAATACTTTTAAATACCAAAAGAGAACTGCCACTCAAAAATGGCTTGCAAAATTCGAAGAAAACAGCCACTTCTTTTCACACTGTACCGTTAGCTGACAGCAACAACTTATTCCCTCATCCTTCAAGCGGAACATCCAAAACCTTCATCATGGAGAATATAGGAAAGTGGAATACTTTAAAAATTTGCAGGCGATGATTTTTTTCGAAATTTCGAACTCTTTGAGAACTGAATTGTCGTGAAGCAACTTTGAGGTAAAATTCAAATGGTTACTGACATGCAAAAAGAATACTGAGAGTTGTTACGATGAAACGGTTTTGAGCAATTCCGTGAATCAAAGGACACAACAACCTGAAAAGAATGTGAACAGAATGCACGAAAAGAATTGACTAGGACAAAGTCATGATTCACTGCAGAACAAGTTGCTCGACTACATCAACGAAATATCGTTCGAGCGTTTTTAAGGCCGCCGAACATAATCAGTCTTCGGGAGAATGAATTGCTGAGAATAACATCCACACTGCACGACGTCATATGTTCATTTCGTTATGCTAAAGAATTTAAACTTAACAGTTAATGAATCAAAAATCATGGAACGCAGTTCGCCTAAACAATCAGTTATGAAGGCGGGCTTATGATGAGAAGATGAGCCGCTGAGATACGCCGCGGATAGTCTGATGAGAAGATTGAATAGACAGAGATGAATATTGAATGTTACTCTGATACTCATAATGAACCGTACTGCGCAAATTATAAAGTGAAGTAATGAATCGAAAGGATGGAATATATACATTTATTCGTTTTCATGAACAGGGACGAATTGAAGTTTGCCGAACGTTTCAACATTTCCCTAAAGAGCTCGTGAATATCAAGAACTTCTACGGATCGAAGTATGAGAAAAGCGAATAACAACGATGTTGTCTGAATGGATGATCTCACAACGAAAAAAAATAAACGGTTAATCATTTACTTGCACAGTTCACTTATTCATTCATTGCAATAAAACTATGAGCCGAAAATTCATAGAAAAGATGCTATGAACGGACTCAAACTGAAGAACTCTTATTGCAACAAACGGTAGCCTAAAAGTTGAAAAAAATCGAAATAAAGAATGCAGAAATTTTAAAACGATGGGAATAACCAAACTGACATTGCTGACCACTTGTTCTCTTGGGTAATAAATTGATAGTTTATGCTGTCCATCGAGAATCTTCGATGGCTCCAGAAATTGGACAATGTGTGTACTTCGTGATCAGGAAAGCAACATTAGCATTTTTTTAGCAAACATCTTGATGCTCTTTAGCAAAACAGTCGATATTACGTAACAAATTCATTCGGCGAAAAAAGTTGAGCACAGACAGACACATCGATTCATTGATTATTCGTGTAATCGTTTTCGTCGAAGTGTTTGTCTAATGAATGTACAATACACGATGTGTAATACACGAAACATTTCATAATTCAGATGATTTATTATCGTTCAAAAAACATTTTCTCGAAGCTCAGTAGCGTTCTCTAAATAGTGTTAGACGTATCAGCCACTTCAATCTTTGTTTCGTGAATATTTGCGAGTGGCAGAAGTGAACGACGGTTCAGTACGTTGTTAGAACGCGGTTCGGTTATCTTTCATCACTCTGCCACTGGAACGTTCGATGTGAATTCTCATTATTTAATACCAACAACAAGTGACGTTCTTGATGACGTCACAAACGGAACATCAAACAATGTTGACAGTTCGAACGGTGTATTTAAGGTGAGTCTAAAAGG